ACATCCTTTCCTGAACTCCCATGCTGAATCCCCATCCCATTGCTCATGCTGATTTCCCTCCCCCTCTCCATGCATCTCTGGCGTCTCCCCAGCTTCCCTGCTCCCCGTCTCCCTGTCTCCCCAGCTTCCCTGCTCCCCGTCTCCCCCCACCCTTTCTCCACATCACCGTCCTTGCCGTCTCCCCCATCCCCCTAACCTAACCCCCCTGTCCCTTCCGTCCCCCCCTCGGGGGCACACTGCACCACACTGCACCACACTGAGCCGCACTGCAGCTACTACACGAGGTGGAGGAGCTGAAGTGGCAGCTGGGGCAGGCGCAGCACCAGAGCAAGCACCTCAAGTCACGCGTGGTGGGTTTGGCGGGGTTGTGTTGGGCTGGTTTGGGTTGGGTTGGTTTGGGTTGGGTTGGGTTGGGTTGGGTTGGGTTGGGTTGGGTTGGGTTGGTTTGGGTTGGGTTGGGTTGGGTTGGGTTGGGTTGGGTTGGGTTGGTTTGGGTTGGTTTGGGTTGGGTTGGGTTGGGTTGGGTTGGGTTGGGTTGGGTTGGGTTGGTTTGGGTGGCCTCACATTACCTGCAACGCACTGCTCTGTTGGGAAGCGGCTCTGCAGCCGCCTCATAAGCCTGGTGGGCTGACATGATTCATACCAGCTTTTCATGGGAGGTTCTTGTGTGGAATGTTCCCTCTGTTTCTCTTCGAGACGTCTCAAAAATAACCTCTCTACAGGTGGGCTGACATGATTCATACCAACTTTTCATGGGAGGTTCTTTCTTGGAATGTTCCCTCTGTTTCTCTGCTGATGAAGCTCTCTGTTTCTTCTAGATTGCTTCCGCCTGTCCCGCTGTCTTGCCTTCTTGTCGAATCGTTGCTATGCTTCTGCCTACTGCCTTTTGAGTCGACTCAAAAGTCAGATCGTTGCTATGCTTCTGCCTACTGCCTTTTGAGTCGACTCAAAAGTCAGATCGTTGCTATGCTTCTGCCTACTGCCTTTTGAGTCGACTCAAAAGTCAGATCGTTGCTATGCTTCTGCCTACTGCTTTTTGAGTCGACTCAAAAGTCAGATCGTTGCTATGCTTCTGCCTACTGCCGCGTTGCTGCCGATTCAACTCTTTCTGTTTACTCAGTTCACTCGTCCTAGGCCCGCTGCTTCTCCCATGCCTCCTCTTTTGGGAATTCTTAATGAATGTGCCAACTTGGTTGTCACACAGTAAATCATGGCGCGTACTGAGCATTTCTGCCGCCTCTTTGACCTGTTGATGGTGAATCCAATAAGCCGCTGCTGCGTTGCTGCAGACTCAGCTCTCTCTGTTCTCTTGCTTGTCCTAGGCCCACGCGCCTCCTGTGCCCACTCCTCGCCCTCCACACACGTCTGTGATGCTTCCTGGGCTGCTATGTGTGCGTGCTTCTCTCACTGTGCCGCCCCCTGTGTGCTACTCTCTCTGTGTGCAGACGGACTATGAGGCGTTGGGGAGGGGCGAGGGGCCAGGCGGTGTAGATGAGCGCATAGAGGTGCTGCGCTCACACCTTGCAGAGGCGGAATGGAACGCGGAGCAGGTGAGACGTGACTGCTGTGGTTTGAGTGGACTGAATACAAAGAGGGGAGAGTCGAGGGGTCAGGTGGTGTGGATGAGCGCATAGAGGTGCTGCGCTCACACCTTGCAGAGGCGGAATGGAACGCGGAGCAGGTGAGACGTGACTGCTGTGGTTTGAGTGGACTGAATACAAAGAGGGGAGAGTCGAGGGGTCAGGTGGTGTGGATGAGCGCATAGAGGTGCTGCGCTCACACCTTGCAGAGGCGGAATGGAACGCGGAGCAGGTGAGACGTGACTGCTGTGGTTTGAGTGGACTGAATACAAAGAGGGGAGAGTCGAGGGGTCAGGTGGTGTGGATGAGCGCATAGAGGTGCTGCGCTCACACCTTGCAGAGGCGGAATGGAACGCGGCGCAGGTGAGACGTGACTGCTGTGGTTTGAGTGGACTGAATACAAAGAGGGGAGAGTCGAGGGGTCAGGTGGTGTGGATGAGCGCATAGAGGTGCTGCGCTCACACCTTGCAGAGGCGGAATGGAACGCGGCGCAGGTGAGACGTGACTGCTGTGGTTTGAGTGGACTGAATACAAAGAGGGGAGAGTCGAGGGGTCAGGTGGTATGGATGAGCGCATAGAGGTGCTGCGCTCACACCTTGCAGAGGCGGAATGGAACGCGGCGCAGGTGAGGGACGCGACGCCTGTGGTTTGAGTCAACTCAAAACAAACGTGACATCTGCTGCCACGTGATTGGTTGCTGCTGTAGCATGACTGAGTTGTAAGATGTATCAAAGCGTGACTGCTTCGCCCATGCTTGTGCTGCGAATATGCATGTGCTATGCTATCTATCAACCTGCCCAGGAGGAGTTTCCCATCCCATCCCCACTGCCCGCCTTTGCATCCATGCATGCAGGCAGCAACAGACGTGTGGGAGAAGGACAAGGAGATCAAGGACCTCAAGGCCAAGCTGGTCAGTGCACCCACCCATCCTTCCATTCCTCTTTGAGCTACTTCTGGGAATTCTGAACCGTCGCATCATATTGGAGGGTTGGGATGTGTGTGGGAGAAGGACAAGGAGATCAAGGACCTCAAGGCCAAGCTGGTCAGTTTCGTCTCGTCCCTCCAATGCTGCTTGCGTTGCCTTGAGTTGCTGTTAAGACTACTTGATAAGGAGAAAGAGTCGTGTGGGAGAAGGACAAGGAGATCAAGAACAACGATTAAGGATCCATCCATCCATCCATCCATCCATCCATCCATCCATCCATCCATCCATCCATCCATCCATCCATCCATCCATCCATCCATCCATCCATCCATCCATCCATCCATCCATCCATCCATCCATCCATCCATCCATCCATCCATCCATCCATCCATCCATCCATCCATCCATCCATCCATCCATCCATCCATCCATCCATCCATCCAAACAACCCCTCAATCCCTCGCAATTGGTCTCTGCACCCTTCCCCAGGCGTCCATGGAGTTGGAACTCCAGGCAATGACAGAGAGGGAGGAGGCGGTGGTGGCGCTGCAGGAGAGGGCTCTTCAGATACATCCCCCTCCTCCCCCCCCCTCCCTCTGGCCTCTTCCTACGCATGCATGGCAATGCTCCACCCAGGCGTCCATGGAGTTGGAACTGCACGCAATGACAGAGCGGGAGGAGGCGGTGGTGGCACTGCAGGAGCGCACAGAGGAGAAGCGCGCGGGGCTAGAGGAGGAGCTGGCGCAGGTGCAGGAGGAGATGCAGCGCGTCACACGGCGCAAGGCAGACATGGAGGCGGACATGCGCAAGCGCGTGGCGGAGGCGGTGAGTGCGACAGGCATAGTAGCCAGCAGTAGGGAGGAGTGTGTGGGAGGGGGGTTGAGAGGGGCGCAGTGCGGTGCGCCCAGGTGGTGAGAGTGAGGTAGGTGCAAGGAGAGGTGCGTTTTGAGTCGATTCTAATGGCAGCTGCAGGAGGGCACAGAGGAGAAGCGCGTGGGGCTAGAGGAGGAGCTGGCGCAGGTGCAGGAGGAGATGCAGCGCGTCACACGGCGCAAGGCTGACATGGAGGCGGACATGAGGAGGTGCGTGACAGAGGCGGTGAGTGCGAGGTTGGGGGAAAGGAGTGGTGAGTTTTGGGTTTACTACAGAGGCAGGTGCAGGGGGAGATGCTGCAGCGTGTGGCACGGTGCAAGGGCGAGATGGAGCCGGATATAAGGAGGCGCGTGACAAAAGCGGTGAGTGCAAGGGGGACAAGGAGGGTGAGGATTGAATTAATTCAAGAGGCAGGTGCAGGAGGAGATGCAGCGCGTGGCACGGTGCAAGGGCGAGATGGAGGTGGTTATGCAGAGGCGCGTGACAGCGGAGGTGAGTGGGAAGGGGTGGTTCCTGTGAGGAGGGGAGGGCTGTGGGGAGGGGGGTTGAGAGCGGTGCGGAGAGGTGCGTTGTGAGTGGAATCAGACAGCAGCTGCAGGAGGAGATGCAATGCGTGGCACGGTGCAAGGGCGAGATAGAGGTGGATCATGAGGAGGCACGTGGCAGGGGTGGTGAGTTGAGAGGGATGCAGTGCGGTGCTCGCAGGTGGTGAGTGCAAGGTGGGGACGAGGAGAGGTGTGTTCTGAGTCAAGTCAAGTGGGTTGGAGAAGGGGTTGGAGGAGCGGCACAGCTTTGCTCCGGCCCACCTCTTCCGCTTCCCCCTTCCTCTCTTCCCCTGCTCTCAGGAATCGGCCATCGCAACAGCGCAGGTGCACGAGAAGGGGCTGGTCGCAGGAGCGGTGCAGAGATTCTTTGTCCGCTCCCTCTTCCCTTCCGCTCCCCTCCCTCCCCCCCACCGCCCCCCCGACTGCCCCCTTCCTCTCTTCCCATGCTCTCAGGAATCGGCCAAGGCAGCAGCGCAGGCACGGGAGAAGAGGCTGGAAGAGCAGTGCTGCATAGCTGTGAACCACCTCTTGGCTTCCCTTCCGCACTTCCCCCCTCCCTGGTCCTCCTCTTCCCCACTCCCCATACTCTCAGGAATCCGCCATGGCAGCAGCGCAGGCACGGGAGAAGGGGTTGGAGGAGCGGCGCAGGGCGGCGGTGGCGGAGGAGCGGAAGCTCAAGGCGCGCGTGCTAGAGCTCAAGACAGAGGTGGCGCGCGCTGGCACGCACAGCAGCACCTCCTTCAAGGCTGTGGCTCAGGTGGGTGGGAGTGGTTGCTCTGGTGGGGGGGGGGGGGGGGAGAATGGGTGGGATGCTAGTGCTCAAGACAGAGGTGGCACGTGCTGGCACGTACAGCAGCACCTCCTTCAAGGCTTTCGCTCAGGTAGGTGCTGCCTGTGGTGGGGCAGGTGCTTTGGAGTGCTCGCCTGTGTTTTGGAGCAGTTGGGTAGGGACGCTTGTGGTGTGGTGTGTGTGCCTCGTGCTTGTCCTGTACAGTAAAGACTATTTTTTATTCCATGTCCTTATATTGATTGCCCTCACACCTGTGTGTGTGTGGGGGGGGTGTTTCCTCTACCATCCCTCCATCGCTCCATCGCTGCACGTGTGCGAGCACACAGGTGGCAGCGCTGCGGTTCCAGAAGGAGCGCTTGCTGCGGGAGAAGGAGAACCTCGAGAAGAAGCTCAAGGTGAGAGGGCAGGCCCGCAGGGTGGGGAAGGAGGGGGGAGCAGGGTGAGATATTAAAAAAAATGACTCAAGGAGGGGGGTGCGGTTTCAAGGTTGAGAAGGAGGTATTTGAAAACAAGACTCAAGAAGGAGATATTTTATAGATTGACTCAAGAAGGAGAATCATGAGAAGAAGCTCAAGGTGGGGAGGCAGGCCCGCAGGGTGCGGAAGGAAAGCCGGGAGGGAAGGGGAAGGGGATGGAGAGGGAAAGGCTTTGTTGTCACTAGGTGAGAAGGAAAACCTCGAGAAGAAGCTCAAGGCGAGAGCAGGCCGACAGGGTGAGGAAGGTTCTAGGCGCCTTAGGAATCGTGGCAATACAGAAGGAGCACTGGCTGAAGGAGAAAGGAGCTCAAAGCGAGGAGGCAGGCCCGCAGGGTGCGGAAGGAAAAGGGGGAGAGGGAGAGGGGAGTGGTTCGGGAGGGGCAGATTTTTGAGTCGAGTAAAAAATCTCCTCCAGAGCTGCAGTTCCAGAAGGAGTGCTTGCTGCAGGAGAAGGAGAAAGAGAAAGAGAAGCTTGAGTTGCCTGCGCTCCCTCCGCCCCATCCGCTTGCTCCTGTGTCCTCTCCCGCGTACATGCATGGTACATACATGTGCACATGCATATGGATGTATAAATACATCATACATACAAAGTAAAGAAAGATGTATAGAGATACATCTAGCCATCCTTCCATCCGTCCGTCTAAATCCCTGATCCGTCTTGAGTGCGGTGCGTGTACAGGAGGCAACAGGGGAAGGTGCAGGGGGAGCAGTAGCAGTGGCAGCAGTAGCAGCGGAGGCTAGCAATGAGAGTATTCAGAAGCTGGAGCAGGAGCTGGTGAGTTGTGTGCTTCGGTGTGGCCCTGGGTGCAGGCACATGAACATCCACATGCATAAATATCTACACATGCACCCATGCACATGCACCCATGCACATGCACCCATGCACATGCACCCATGCACATGCACCCATGCACATGCACCCATGCACATGCACATGCACACATGCACATGGACATCACCCGTATACCCTCCCATCCATCCATAATTTATCTGTCGATCCGCCCATCCATCCATGCACCTCCAGGTACCAGAGAACCAGAGCAGCAGAGGCAGCAACACTACCAGGCACAACTAGCCACGAAACACATGTTGTGTCTCACAACATCCATGTTCCACTCGTGTTGTGTTCCATGTTCCACTCAAAACACGGCACCCTTGTTCCTCTCGTGTTTTGAGTCGACTCAAAACACGGCACCCTTGTTCCTCTCGTGTTTTGAGTCGACTCAAAACACGGCACCCTTGTTCCACTTCCACACTGCCTCAGTCGTCCCCTTTACCCCCCCTCTCCCCCTTCCTCCCAGGCACACACGCAGGAGATGCTGGAAGCAGAGAGGAGCGCAGCAGCAGAGGCAGTGACACAGCGAGAGGCGATGAGGGGAGAGGTGGAGGAGTTGAGACGGGAGGTGGAGGCATTGAGTGCTCGCAGCAAGGAGGAGGCCAACGGGCAGCAAGCAGAGGAGCAGGATCCGGTGAGTGGGGAGGGAGAAAGAGGTGGTGGAGTCTATTTTTGAGTCAACTAAAAATAGACTTATCACACAGGGGCAGATGGGCAGCAAGCAGAGGAGCAGGATCCGGTGAGTGGGGAGGGAGAAAGAGGTGGTGGAGTCTATTTTTGAGTCAACTAAAAATAGACTTATCACACAGGGGCAGATGGGCAGCAAGCAGAGGAGCAGGATCCCGTGAGTGGGGAGGGGGAGGTGGGGAAGGGGGGAAGATGGGGAAGGGGGGAGTGAAAAGGGGAGAGGGGAAAGGGGAAAGGGGAGAGGTGGGGGAGAGGGGGAAGGGAGAGGTTGGGGGTGAGGTGGGAAGGAGAGGGTGGCTGGATCTTGAGGGGAGGTGTTAGGGCCTTGCCTTGTAGATCCATGGGCTTCCACTCGCCCTGCTGAACCCTCTCGCCCTCTATGTGTGTGTGTGTGTGTGTGTGTGTGTGTGTGTGTGTGTGTGTGTGTGTGTGTGTGGCATGTTTGGGCATGTGTGGGTGTGCGTGTGCATGCATGTGTGGGCATGTCTGTGTGTGCATGCGTGTGTGTGCATGCGTGTGTGTGCATGCGTGTGTGTGCATGCGTGTGTGTGCATGCGTGTGTGTGCATGCGTGTGTGTGCATGCGTGTGTGTACATGCATATATGCGTATGCATGTGTGTCTGCATGCATATGTGTGCGTGCATGTGTGTGTGCATGTGTGTGCATGTATGATGCATGCATGTTTGTGCATGCACCTGTGTGCATGCCACACGTGAAGCAGATAGCGAGTGCATCGGAGGAGGAGTTGAGGGAGCAGCTGCAGAGCGCATTGGAGCAGTGGGACAAGACCAAGAACTTCGTGAGTACAGCCCGAGCCACGGGGATACGCTGGGGCAGGGTGGGATAGGAAGGATTGAGTGGAAGATGAGGGGTATGTGTATTTGTATGTGCGTAGTTGTGGGTGTGGGTGTATGACTGTACGTGTGCTTGTGTTTTGTGTGGGGAGCTGTTAGCGAGTGAGAGAAAGGGACCATTTGAATCAATCAATACAAGGACCATCTGAGCGAAAGAGACCGAGTAATGTAATATTCTTCACTCTAAGCCTGCACCTCTAACATCCCTTACGTCCCCTCTTCACTGCCCCCTATGCACCCCTCCTTCCCTCTTTCCCCTCTCGGCCTACATTCTTCCCTTTTTACCTCCTGACTCTTCCCCTTTGCCCTCTCTACTCCTTTCCTTTGCCCCCCCTGTTTCCCTTCGCTCTCCCTACTCCCTGTCGCCCTGCCTGTGTCCCCGCGGCCACTGTCAGTCCCGCCTCCTACAGGGGCAGGTGTTTGAGCAGAAGAAGCGTATAAGAGAGCTCGAGGTTTGCTCTCGCTGCCATACCATTGCCCTTCTTTCGCATCCCTCTCAAATCTTCTCTCAAACGTCTACGTTTCCAACACATCAACGGTTTCCCAAACCTTGCTCCTGGGGCGCCCCCGGTGCACCTTGCTTCTAGCCTTGACACGTCTTTAAAGCTAAAAAAGGTATTTTTTTTCCTCTCATCATCCATATCACCACTCACCACTCACCACCCATACCACCACTCAACCATCCATACCCCGGAAACCTGACACTGTACGCCACCATTCTCTCCTCTGTGCGTCTCAGGGGGAACTCAAGCGGTCAGACGCAGGCCCGCTAAAGGAGCGCCTGGAGAAGGTGAGATGGGAGTGGGCTGCTGCGCAAGGGGATGAATGAAAAGGGTTGTTGCTTGGTTGAGAGTGGTTTCGTGTGGTTCCTGAGCGTGGAGTTGAAGGAGATGGGGGTTTAGCTCAGGGGGTTGCGGGAGGAGGGGAAGCCAGAGGAACTGAAAGGGTTTGAACTTTGTTCAACCTTTTTTTCTTGTGATTTCTCCACCTTTGTTTGATTTTTGTTCCACACTCTTGTGACAAAAGTCCTGCCCACTTCTTTCTCCTTGCTTGACTTCCCCTCCCCCTTCTCTTTCACACCCTTTCACCCCTTCTTATCCACCCCTGCTTACCCCGTTCACCCTTTCTTAACCCTTTCCACCCCCGTTCACCTGGGAGCAGGTGGAGGAGGAGGCACGTGCACTTGGGCAGTATGTGGAGCAGCTGGAGCGGGAGAGGGCACAGGTGAGACAGGGCGAGGGGGGGCGAGTGGGGGCGAGGGGGGGCGAGGGAGGGCGAGGGGGGGCTGGGGAGGGCGGGCGTGGGTGAGGGGAAGCGTGGGGGGGCGAGGGGCGAGGGGGGACGAGGGGATAGGGAAAGGGGGAGAGGGAAGTGGGAAGAGGGAAGATGGAAGAGGGAATAGGGAAGGCAAGAGGGAGGAGGAAAGAGGGGAATGGGAGGTTTACAATGGCGAAATGAGATGAGATGCTTTTCACAGGGTTACCAAGCAAACTCGTGCGGGGCAAGGCAAGGTGTCAAGTCAGAAGAAAGTAGTGGTTGCAGCCCCCTATGCAGCTGTTGTTTCCTATGCAGCCACTCAACTCGCTTGCTGCCCCCTCCCAACCCAACATTCTCTTTCTGCCCCCCATGCCCCTCTCCTACCCCTATGCCCCTATGCCCCTATCCCCCTATGCCCTACCCAACCTGCCCTCCCGTCCCCCTGTCCCCTCTGCCTACCTCCTGCCCTGCTCCCGCCTGCCCTACCCCCTGCTGTCCCCGCTCCCCCCTGTTCTATTCTATCTAACCCCCTGGCAGGGCGGGGCGGACCCAGCAGAGGTGGAGGCGATGAGGGTGAACCTGCAGGCGATGCGGGAGGAGGTGGGGCAGCCACCCCCTCTGCCCCTCCTTTCCCCCGTCCCCCTCCTCATCCCCCCTGCCTTTTTCTGCACCCTCTGCTTCCCCCTATTCCCCCCTGAAACCCCCCTGCCCCCCCTGCTCCCCCTGCTCCCCCACCTGCTTCCCCCTACCCCCTGTTCTTCTACCCCCTGCTGTCCCCCTCCCCCCTGTTCTATCTACCCCCCCTTGACAGGGCGGGGCAGACCCAGCAGAGGTGGAGGCGATGAGGGCGGACCTGCAGGCGATGCGCGAGGAGGTGGGGCAGCGGCGCATGGAGCACGAGCACGTCATGCAGGAGCTGGTGCGCGCACACAAGGGGTGGGGGGAGGGGGGGATAGGGAGGGGGGAAGGGGGTGTGGAAGGGAGGTGGGGCAGCGGCGCATGGAGCACGAGCACTTCATGCAGGAGCTGGTGCGCGCACACAGGGGAAGGGGGGAGGGGATGGTGTGGGGAGGGGGGGAGGGGTTGGTGTGGGGAGGGGGGGAGGGGTTGGTTTTTGAGTCTACGCAGAAGAGCACGGGCATCTCCTGCAGGAGCTGGTATGCGTATACAAAGAAGGGGGGAAGAGGTGGGGGGTCGGTGCGCGCTCACAGGGGGGAAGGGGATGGGGTGAGGGGGGCAAAGGGGTTTGAGTCTAGTCTACGCGGAAGAGCACGGGCAGCTCCTGAAGGGGCTAGTGCTGTGGGGGTGCGAAAGAAGGGGCTCGTGCTGTGGGGGTGCGAAAGAAGGGGCTAGTGCTGTGGGGGTGCGAAAGAAGGGGCTAGTGATGTGGGGGTGCGAAAGCAGGGGCTCTTTGAGTTGAGTTGACTCAGATGCCGACCCATAAGCTGGGGAGAGCACGCAAAGGGGAAGCGGGGGGAGAGGGGGAAAGGGGCGGGTGGGGTGGAGGCGAGTAGCTCTCGTGCAGGAGCTGGTGAGTAAGGGCACGCATGGGAGGAAGATGAAGGGTTTGGGTGCGAGAAGAGTGGGGCGGGGCGCGGAAGAAAGGGGCAGGCAGAGGGGGAAGGGGGTAGAATTGGTCAGGCGTGCAGTGCGTGACTCTTTGGAGGAACGTGATTATGTGGAAGGCAAAGGAACGTGATTATGTGGAAGGCAAAGAGGAACGTGATTATGTGGAAGGCAAAGGAACGTGATTATGTGGAAGGCAAAGGAACGTGATTATGTGGAAGGCAAAGGAACGTGATTGTGTGGAAGGCAAAGGAACGTGACTATGTGGAAGGGAAAGGAACGTGATTATGTGGAAGGCAAAGGAACGTGATTATGTGGAAGGCAAAGGAACGTGATTGTGTGGAAGGCAAAGGAACGTGATTATGTGGAAGGCAAAGGAACGTGATTATGTGGAAGGCAAAGGAACGTGATTATGTGGAAGGCAAAGGAACGTGATTATGTGGAAGGCAAAGGAACGTGATTATGTGGAAGGCAAAGGAACGTGATTATGTGGAAGGCAAAGGAACGTGATTATGTGGAAGGCAAAGGAACGTGATTATGTGGAAGGCAAAGGAACGTGATTGTGTGGAAGGCAAAGGAACGTGATTATGTGGAAGGCAAAGGAACGTGATTATGTGGAAGGCAAAGGAACGTGAGTGCAGATGTGGAAGGCAAAGGAACGTGAGTGCAGATGTGGAAGGCAAAGGAACGTGAGTGCAGATGTGGAAGGCAAAGGAACGTGAGTGCAGATGTGGAAGGCAAAGGAACGTGAGTGCAGATGTGGAAGGCAAAGGAACGTGAGTGCAGATGTGGAAGGCAAAGGAACGTGAGTGCAGATGTGGAAGGCAAAGGAACGTGAGTGCATATGTGGAAGGCAAAGGAACGTGAGTGCAGATGTGGAAGGCAAAGGAACGTGAGTGCAGATGTGGAAGGCAAAGGAACGTGAGTGCAGATGTGGAAGGCAAAGGAACGTGAGTGCAGATGTGGAAGGCAAAGGAACGTGAGTGCAGATGTGGAAGGCAAAGGAACGTGAGTGCAGATGTGCAGTGCGTGAGTGCAGACGTCTGCAGCACTGCCCACGCACAGAACATGTAGGAGGGGTTGACACGATGCATACATTCATCCGCAAGTAAGGGGGGCCTTCCTGCTCCCTTCGGCCCCCCTCTCCACATACGTTCTCACATTCCTTCTCACATACCTTCTTACATCCCCCTCCCATACGCTCCCACTCCTCCCCTCCCCCTTTGAGCAGAACATTATGCACCGCAACCATCAGGAGGAGCTCGCCGAGGCTCACCGCCAGGTATGGTGATCATGCCCGGAATCGCTTTTGAGAATTCTCAAAAGTTTTCAAGTGTGGTTTGGGACCCAAATCTCATGTGTGGTTTAAGGCTCTGCATATGCGATCTTTTTTTTTTGCACCTTAAAATAAAAATGGCGTCCTTGACTGTTTCTGGTATCTTGGTTCAGCCGATCGCCTTTCCTCTCTGCATGTGTCCTCTTCGCCTGCCGTCCCCTTCTCAACGTCCCCAGATTCCCTCCACACCTCCGCTTTCCTTCCCCCCTCTCCCTTCACCCTTTTTCCCCTTTTCCCCACCTTCTGCTGCAGCGCGATGCAGCAAAAAGGGAACTACAGTCGCTGCAGCAGCAGCAGCTAGATCTATCCCATCAACCGTGCTCCCTGTCCCCCAATCTCCCCCAACCCCCAATCCCATTGGCTGCAGCGCGATGCAGCGACGGGGGAGCTGCGGGCGCTGCAGCGGCAGCTGGAGGAGGAGGAGGAGGCGCGGATGGAGGCGGAGAGGAGGCGCGTGGAGAGCGAGAGGCGGCGTGCAGCGGTGGAGCAGGAGAGGAACGAGACGGAGATGGAGGCGAGCACTCTCAAGCAGAAGCTGTCGCGGCTGCAGCGCCAGCTGTCGGAGGTGGGGAGAGGAGAGAGGCGAGGGAGGGGAGGGAGGGAGGGAGGGAAGGGGAGGTGGGCTAGCTTCGTGCTTCGTTCATTAGCTTTTTGAGAACAGGAAGACAAATGGAAGAAAGGAATGGAGGAAGCGTTTGGGCCTGATTTTTCCGCGCATATTACTCTGATGTCGTGTCTGTAATCCCACGTTCTCCCCTCCCATTCCTGTTGCCTCCCCTATTCCCTCGACCCCTATTTCCCCCCCTCTCCCTCACCGCTAAGACACGCGCACAGCACGAGCAAAGCGCAGGAGGAGCGGCTTCTGAGGCACCTGCCATTCTTGTCTCGCTTCCCTCCTCTCTCCCCTCCTCCCCCCTCTCCCTCACAGCTGAACCATGCACGGAGCAAGAGCGGGGAGCATGAGGAGCGGTCGGTGAAGGAGCAAGCAGCTAAGGTGGTGCAACTGCAGGGGGAGGTGGAGCGGCTGAGCAAGATGGGGCAGGAGGCGGAGCGACTCAGGGCTGAAGTCATGGCCAGGGACGCCAAGGTGAGGTGTGAGGTGTGAAGGGTGATGTGTGAGGTGTGAGGGGTGAGGGGTGCGTTTGTTTGCTGATTTCCACTCTCCTGATTTGCCCCATCTGCTTTCTCTGAATCGCTTCTCTGTTTTTTATTTATTTATTACCCACTCACTTTCCTCCTCACACCGCATCTGTTGTCTTTCTCACTCTTCCACCCTCCATTCTCTCCCCTCCGTCTCCCCTTTCTCTCCCTCCCCCCACCGCCCCCTCCCTTACCATCGTCCCTTTCTCTTCCTCCCACCTCCTTTCCGTTTGTCTCTCTCTCTCTCTCTCTCTCTCTCTCTCTCTCTCTCTCTCTCTCTCTCTCTCTCTCTCCTCTCTCTCTCTCTCTCTCTCTCTCTCTCTCTCTCTCTCTCTCTCTCTCTCTCTCTCTCTCTGTAGATCAAGGCAGAGGAAGCAACGATAACACAGTTCGCATCCAAGCTGGTGAGACCAACTATCCCTTCTTACCTCACCAAACACTCACACACTTCTCAACCCTCCCACTCAATTCCTTCCCCTCTCAACTCCCTCCCTCAATTCCCTACCCTCTCAACTCCCTCCCTCAATTCCCTACCCTCTCAACTCCCTACACTCTCTACTCACTCCTCCCATTCCCCTCACCTCAGCTGCGTCATATTCCATTCCAAAACGCTACCCTCCTCCCTTCCATCCTGCTTCGCCTTGCTACCATCCCCTGCTCGATGCACGCACGCTCTGCCATGCAGGGAGTGTGCTCTTTCTACCTCTATGGCCAAGGGTTTATCTCAATAGCACCCAGACACAGGCAGTGCTTCTGTGGGAGCTTTTTGGGCCGACTCAACAATCGTATGCTCTCTCCAGTTGTATGGCACCTAGTGACAGGGTGTGTGGGTCGGAATGTGGAGGACACAAGGTCAGCTCGAGTTTGTGCAACAACTTTGTCATCCTCCCTGTTTTTCCTCCCGTTGTGCTGTGCTGTGCTGTTCTTTGTTCTGCTCTGCTCTGCTGTGCGGTGCTGTGCTGTGCGGTGCTGTGCTGTGGGGTGCTGTGCTATGCTGTGCTGTGCTGGGTTTGTGCTGTGCTGTGCTGTGCTGCGCTGCGCTGTGCTGTGCTGTGCTGTGCTGTGCTGTGCTGTGCTGTGCTGTGCTGTGCTGTGCTGTGCTGTGCTGTGCTGTGCTGTGCTGTGCTGTGCTGTGCTGTGCGGTGGAGCACGGCATGGGTGGCAGAGGGAGGTAACAGAAGTGAACGAGACTATGGAGAGGAAGCTAAGGGAGCAGAGCGCAATGGAAGCAGCCGTTTACGATGTACATACCACTCTCCCCTCTTCTGCTCTTTCCTCCTCTTCTCCTCTTCCTCTCTGCTCCTCTTCTCCTCTTTTCCTTTTCTCCACGTCTCTTCACTCCTGTGAAATGCACAAAGCCTCCCTAGCAAGTAACAGCAACAACGTACCCACAACGGTGTCTGCAACTAGATACATGCCTGCTCACTGAAGTAACGTTATTTTTCCAATCGAAGCCATTCTGTGGCTCCTTCAAAATTCCTCTCTCTGCTTCGTCCCCTCTTCTCTCTCCTATCACTTTTATCTCTTCGTTCTTCTCTTTCTAATGGTCCTTGTATTGATAAAAGCAGGAAGGTACAGTCATGCATGTAACACAGCTATCTGCGTTTCCAGCAAACTTCTAAACAAACAAACACACACTATCTAGCAAACCGCACACCTAGAGCTCCAAAACGGGCTCAATCACTGCACAATAATCCCCAAGGTGCAATTCAGAATGCACCCTCCCTACGGGTGGGTTCTCCGCTACTGCCGCTTGGCTTGATTTGATTAGGTACCCCACATATTGTGCTCTCTGGAGAGCACTAGACCACCTCTGCCTGAAGAGGTGCAGAAACTTCGCAGCTTGAAATGAATGAGGTTGGGCGTTGAAGTAACGCCGAGCAGCCGTGTCTGCCGTTCTTCTCTTACTCTCTCCTCTCTCTCCTCTCTCATCTCTCTCCCGTCTCTCATCCCTCTCCACTCTCTCCCCTCGCAGGTGACAGCGGTGGATACGAGGAAGCCAGGGCACGTGGTGAGGCTGAGGAAGAAGACGGCCTACAGCTGTGCCGTGTGCAAACTAGCAGGCAGGGGGCTGTGCTGGCGCTGCACCCACTCCACGTGCGCCGACTACGTACACCCGCAATGCCTCACCAAGGGGTGATCCGAGCGTGCATTTTGAGTGTCCTAGGCTAGAGGATCCTGTTGGACAGGAAGCTGTGCTGTGCTGGCGCTGCACTCACTCAAAATGTTGGAACTACGTGCACCCGCAATGCCTCACCACCATGGGTTGACAGAAGTGTGTTTGAGGTTCCTACAGCGTGAACGCTCAAGGCAAGGCAAAGGGCTGTGCTGCTGGCGCTGCACTCACTCCATGTGTGGGCTGGGGACTACTGGTACGTGCACACGCACTGCCTGACCGAGGGGTGACCCTGGCGGGCGCCTCATAATCCATGACTAGGGGAACTTGTTAGGCAGGGGGGTTTGTACTGGTGGTGCACACTAACCATGTGCAGGGAGGGACCATGGCACATCCATGCACACCACATGCATTGCCTCACCAAGGGGTGATTTGGCAGTGAGTTTGTGAGGATCCCAAGACACGAATGTTTTAGGCAAGGCAGGCTTGTTGGGGAAGAGATTGTGCTGGTGCTGGCGGCGCGGTGCTGGTGATGGCGGCGTGGTGCTGGTGTGCTGGCGGTGTGGTTCTGGTGCTGGCGCTGCACACAGTCTAGTCTCCAGTGCTATGAGGTACAATGTTCGATTCTTGTGTGGGGAATACCATATCCAGTGCCTCACTAAGGGACGATTTGAGAGGTACAATGTACGGTACTTCTGTGGGGAATACCATATCCAGTGCCTCATGGAGCACGGGCATCAATCCCATTAGCACGTGAACCTTGTTAGATAGAGGGCTGTGCTGGCATTGCGCGTGCCCTATCTGTATTGCGGGGAGTAAACTCACTGCGCTGGTGACAACTAAGGATTTAGTAGTGCCACCTTAAGGCAGTATAAACTGCAAGCAATTGCTCGTGAGAATGAGACAAAACCTTTAATATGTATACGCCCACTTGACTTCTAATGCTCCCCTCAATTAAGGGGATATTTATATGTGCATGACTCAATTAGTAACTGCTACCTTCAACAGTGTACGTCCACTGCTCCTCAGGTGCAAGTAGCAAGCGCTTTGTGAGCCACCCATGGGCGCCCAGTTGCTGCAGGAACTCTCCTATGCATGCGTCTGCACGCTGCCCACTCTCCAATACCAGCTGCTGTAGCTCCCTGGGAGATGCACGCCCGCTGCTGCTGCTGGTGGTAGTGTCGCTGCTGTTGCTTCTGCTGCTCCTGCTGGTGGTGGTGGTGGTGCTGCTGCTGCTGCTGCTGCTCCTATCCTGAGGATCAAAGCTTGTGGTTGAGAGGGAAGACAGGGCGGTCTGCAGGAAGCCAACCTGAATGGAAGGGAGAGACAGACGGAAGGAGACATGGGGCGATGGATGGAGGATGGAAAACGGAGGGATGGAGGGATGGAGGATGATGTGAGGGAGTGGAGCGAGGATGGCACCTGCAGGATACAGCAGCAGGTGCAGCAGTGTCATGAAGCTCCAAGCTTGAGTAGAGAGGTTCAAGACACATTGGATACGAGCTGGTTTTCTAGAATCCTCAAAGGGAGACTTAGTAGCTGCACGACGGATTCGTAAGGTGCAAGACACCCATGTGATGAAGGGGTGCCTGAACTTGTGATGGCGGATTCTGGATGCTAGAGATTGATTTTGACTGGTAGGTAAATCAGATCTTCAGTAGCGTGTCTTTCAACGTCCTCGTTTATCTCTTTCATTGCATGAGAAGGAGAAGGAGGAGGAGGAGGAGGAGGAGGAGGAGGAGGAGGAGGAGGAGGAGGAGGAGGAGGAGGAGGAGGAGGAGGAGGAGGAGGAGGAGGAGGAGGAGGAGGAGGAGGAGGAGGAGGAGGAGGATGAGGATAAGCATGCGTGAAACCAACAGCGACGTCCACTACCGGACCTCCGCGTTCGCGTTGTCGCTCCGAGACTCCACAAATTACAGTTTTCATCCCGGCAGTGCCACTCACCACGGAAGCTATAAAACGCTATTCGCCATCTCACGAACGACGTTTTATAGCTACCGTGCTGAGCAGCGCTGCCAGTATGAAATATGTAATTTGTACAGTCTCAGAGCGACAACACGAACACGGAGGGCCAGAAGTGGCCGTCACTGTTGATCCCGCGCTTGCTCAACGGCGTGTGAATTTCGAACACCGAATGGTGGAAAACATTATTGGAGCAGGTGCTCTTGTTGTTTATGATGTTCTGGTTTTCTCTACTTTCTCCATTCCGCAAAGGGTGGTGAGTGGAGAAGGCAGGGAGGTGGGGAAGCAGGGAGGGAAAAAGGGGGAAAGAGGAGAACAAGGGAGGAGGTAAGCAGACGATGGAGATTGATTTTGAGAAATTTCAAAATCGATTCCCATCTGATGAAGTGGTGCCTAAACTTGTGATGCCGAATAAAAATGCTACATGCTATTTGACTGCATGGAAGGAGAAGGTAATTTTTACTCGAATCAAGAAGCATTCGTACCTGCAGCAGCGCCTTCAGTTTGTCTTGCGTGGAAGCAGAAGAACTGAAGGATACGAGAATGGAGAGCGGAGGCAGCACACACGTCGAGGGAACCCGAGGAGGAGGCGCAGGGGGAGGAGGAGGGAATACAGGGTGGGGTTGGTGGAGCGGAGGGGAGCGGCGGTGGGAAATCAAAGAGGGAAGTGCAGAGAGGTGCGCTTGTAGTGGGTTAATGACCCTTGTCTGCAGCGCTTTCACTGCCCCTTGGGCTAAGGTGGTTCCCTGCAGTTGTCTTTTGAGTCGAGCAAAGTCACATAGGGCTGTTTGCATGGCCGTGAGAAGAAGAAACAGCTTGCTGTCTCTTTCTCGCACGCTGATCACGTATGGAGGCGGCGTGTTCTTAGGAGGAGGCATGCCTGCAGGCACTTGGTTCTGTGAGGTTTGAGAATGGTGCGGAGCAGTGCTTGTGGGAGGGGGAGGAGTGCTTGTGTAGAAGAAAGGTGTTTGAGTATCACCAGGGGGAGTGGGCGTGGTGGGTTTGTGGGAGGGGGAAGCAGGCATGTGGCTATGGGTGGGTGGAATGGGGGAGACAGTGGTGGGGGTGGCGGTTGTTGGTGCTGTTGCTGACACTGATGCTGCTGCTGCTGCTGCTGCTGCGGGCGATGCTGATGGTGCAAGTATGGGTGCTTGCTGCTGCGGTTGTAGCAGGTGAAGCAGGGATTGTTGGTCGAGATGATGAGAGAGGAGAGGAACCACTCGCACACGGGGGGTGAACGGGGAGCCTGCAGCAGAAGGAAGGGGAGAGCGCGTGGGGGGGTTGAGAAGACGAGAGTGGGTGACAAGGGGAAGGGAGAGTGAGACGGGCAGCAGTGAGAGGGAAAGGCAAGAGGAGAAAATACAAAAAAAAAGGGGGGGGAACGCAAAAGAGAAAGCGTGCCGAGCAACAGGAAGAAGGAGAGTGGTGAGAAAACAAGGCAGTGCTGGCAGGCATTGCTTACTCCAGTGCGGCGGAAAGAAGAGGCTCTCTCTTGTGGTGAGCCCGGCAGGGCATGGCATTGCTCCGCCTGCCACCCAGTCAGACACCAGCATCTGCACTCGCTCCTGTTGTGAGTGGGATGCACGGGGAAGGGCGCAACAATGAGGAGGTGAGTTTAAGAATTCTCAGAGGAAGAGAGGCAGGAGAGGAAAGAGGGAAGGGCTCTTCGCCGCATGCCACACTGCCACCCAGTCAGATACTAGCACCTGCACTCACTCCTGCTGCCGATGGTGAGGTACATGCGCGGAGCGTGGGAGCAGGGAGGGACAAGGGGTGAGTTGGAAGAGAGGTACGAGAGGAAGCAGGGAAGGGGACCACTCGCTCCTGTGGTGAGACGCGCGTGTGGGGAGATGCGGAACAGGCGAGGGGTTGAGATGCCAAAAGGTGGGAAACTGACCGGGGCACAGCGCTGCTCTGCTTGGATTGTCACCCAGTTGAACACCAGCATCTGCACTCACTCAACAAGCCATCCTTCCCTCCAGCATCCTCGCCTACCTTGCTCAGCGAGCACAGCGCCAGGGCTTATAGTTCCCTTCTGCGAGCTGTTTAAGCTGCCCCTTCCCCTCCCCTCCCCCCTCCACCTCAACAAGCGATTAGGGTTCAGCGAGCGCAGTGGCACACCCCCCTACCTTGTTCAGCGAGCGCAGCGGCACAGCCTGCAGCTCCCTTCGAATGGCTAAAAGGTCGGTGATTGCGAGCAGTGGGAAGAGCAGGAGCGGCAGGCGCGCGTGCAGTCTGGGGGAGGGAGTGGAGGAGAGGGGGATGGAGGGGGCGGGGTGGGACGAGCGCAGTGAAAGATGGATGCATGCAGAATAGGTCCAGGTGCGATGCGACGGAACAAAGGGGAGACGACAATGTGTTGACAATTGAGTCTTACGCACCACTTGTTGTGTTAGTTACCCTCACCTAAAGGCGCCTTTGAGGCACCTAACGGCGTTTTTGAGACGCCTAGAAGTCGCTTGCTGTGTTAGCCTCACCTCCAGGCGTTGCCAGTGCTTCACTCCCACCCCCACACCAACCCACAGCAAGCAACCCACAACAACCCCACGGCAGCCCGTAGCAACCCTGGTGTGACAGGCTAGAAGAGGAACGCACTGGTGGTGGTTGCGCGTGAGTGCCCCCAGCGCCACTGCCACTGCCAGCCCTACGTTGTCCGATACCACTGCTTGCGCCTTCATGCATGCACACAGGCAGGCGGGCAGGCAGGGATGCAGGCAGGGATGCAGGCAGGCAGGCAGGCAGGCAGGCAGGCAGGCAGGCAGGCAGGCAGGCAGGCAGGCAGGCAGGCAGGCAGGCAGGCAGGCAGGCAGGCAGGCAGGCAGGCAGGCAGGCAGGCAGGCAGGCAGGCAGGCAGGCAGGCAGGCAGGCAGGCAGGCAGGCAGGCAGGCAGGCAGGCAGGCAGGCAGGCAGGCAGGCAGGCAGGCAGGCAGGCAGGCAGGCAGGCAGGCAGGCAGGCAGGCAGGCAGGCAGGCAGGCAGGCAGGCAGGCAGGCAGGCAGGCAGGCAGGCAGGCAGGCAGGCAGGCAGGCAGGCAGGCAGGTAGGTAGGTAGGTAGGTAGGTAGGTAGGTAGAGATGCATACATGCACGCATGCAGACAGGCAGACATGCAGACAGGCAGACATGCATACAGGCAGACATGCATACAGGCAGACATGCATACAGGCAGACATGCATACAGGCAGACATGCATACAGGCAGACATGCATACAGGCAGACATGCATACAGGCAGACATGCATACACCATGCACCACACAGAAAGAACAGCTTCACGAGATGATAACTGAAGCACCTTCAGAGGGGCCAGTTTTGATGCGCCTCAAAAGCACAGCTTCACGAGATGATAGACGCACATTCGAATGGGCGTGTGGGATGACAGACTGAGGGAACAGACACACCACACACCCGCATGCATGGGAACCTTGCTGAATCCACACTTGGCTTGCCCATTACCCATCACCATCACACCACTGTGTACCGAATTAGCACTGCACCACACCACACCACACCACACCACACCACACCACACCACACCACACCACACCACACCACACCACACCACACCACATATCACACGAGTTCACTACACCCACACAGCTACCTCCGGCCAGAGAATTCTCAAGTCCCACCAGACAGACTCCCCTGCCAGAGTCCCACCTGCCCCACCATCTCCCCTCCCCCTCTCCCCCCTTCCCACGTCCCCCCTCTTTTTTCCTTGTCCACTTAATGCCCCCCTCACCTGCGCTGCCCCAGTGACCTTTTCCCCACCTGCCCCTTAGCGGAGATGTCCCCGAGGTTATCCGCCAGGGCAAAGGTGCTATGGATGGGCTTTGCGTCGACTCATCCCAACCCCCCCACCCTACCCCTCTCTCTCCCCCCCCTCTCAACACCCCACCTGCCCCTTGGCGGAGATGTCCCCCAGGTTATCCGCCAGGGCGAAGGTGCGATGGATGGGCGGCTGAGTGAGGGGGGGAGGGGAGGAGGGGCGGGTGGGAGAGAGAGGGAGGGGGGTGAGGGGGGAGGGGAGGGGAGGGGGAGTGTGACACGGTGGAATGGAAGAAAGAGGAAAGAGGAGAAGGAGCTACAAGACCAGCAACAGCACCCGAAACGGGAACAAACACCAAGAACACGAGCAGCAGGCATGGCACACGGCACACTCACAGTGGTGGCGACGTAAGCAGCGAGCCCAATGGACTTGCCGATGTTGGCAGCGGTGGCGAGCGGTAGAAAGAGGTGCGGGAAGTGTGGCGTGAGAATGTCCAGGCCTAGACTCGCCGAGAACAGCGCTGACGTCTGAAAGCGCACCCTCTGGACAAGGGAGGAGGTGAGGTGAGGAGGGAGGCAGGAAGAAGCAGTGAGGGAGGGCGAAGAGGGGTGTTGCGAAAGAAACTGGCTTGGATGTCCAGCCCTAGACTCGCCAAGAACAGCGCTCATGTCTGAAAACGCACCTTCTGGACAAGAGAGGGGGGGGCGAGAGGTTGCAAGGAGGAGGGCGGGCGAAGGAGGTTGCTGAGGACTTCACAAGTTAACAAAAGTGGGTTTCACTCAGGCTTGTGAAGGGACGGACGGCTATGAGGATCTTCAGCGATTTTCACTCACAGAAGCCCTTGGACAAGGGGGCAGGCCCCACCAGGGGAGGCCAGCAGAGAATCAATCCAGAGAGTACACACCGATATTCATCTGATAGTGAATTTTGAGGCGCCTCAAAAGATAGTGAATGTTTAGTCAGGCGACAGCAGCAAATGTGCGCCAGATGTGAGGCCTATGCTCACGGTTTAAATGTTCACCAACCGACCGACCAACCATCCAACCATCAATTTAATGAGCCAATGAACCACCCACCCATCCACACCACACTAAACCAATTCAACCAACCAAACCAACGGACCTTCAAATTGCAGTCAAACGAGCCGCCAGTGCTCCCCACAAACCACAGCCGCCCCAGGCGCCCCAGCCCATCCTTCAGCACCCACTGCAGCGCCGCCGCAGCCGGCACGGACCGCCGCGCACCCACTCCAACCGCTCTCAACAGCGACTGCGTCGCCACGACATGCATGCATGAGCTGAGAGTCCGTTGCACAGCCTTCCAGCGCATGTACTCCCAGTATCCCTCCGCCACGTCCCTTGGGAGCAGTGCTGCACGTGCTGCTTCCTCTATTGGAGCCCACACTTGCGTTTTCCATAAGTCGCTGCATCGCCTGAGCATGGCTGCTGGGAGCAAGAACGCCCTCATGCCCTCATCGTGCCTCCATCTCCCTCGCTGCCGCTGCTGCTGCGGCTGCTGCTGCTGCTGCTTCTTGTGTGTCTGGCTGCTTCTGGAGAGCCGGCCTCCATCATCGTCCTCGTCTTCTGTGCCACGTGCTGCCACCACGCACCTCGCCTCGCGAGCATTCCATGCCAGCTGCCGCTGCCGCTGCCCACTCTTACTCTCCCATATGGGCAACAGCTCCACCCTCTCCTCCTCCCGCTTCCCCTTCTCTCCCTCATTCCTCTCCAACTTCTCCTCCTCATACTCCTCATACTCCTCATACTTCTCATGCTCCTGCACTTCTTTTCCCATTGTAACCACCGTGTCATTTCTTGAGTTATTTGTCCCTGCATCCCTTGCTTTCTCGTCTCCACCTGTCCTTTTCCAGCCCATGCCGTTCCGAGCCTGCTCATGCCGAACCTGCGTTCCCCGGGCCTTCCCTCTCCACGCCTGGCCCGGCCAAACCAGGCGACGATCCCTCAAAACCCACGAGAGTAGCCTCGGGACAGAGGCTCGGCATTCCACTGCTGCTGCGGAAGCTGTTACAGACGCCATTGCTGGTACGGCTGCTACAGCTGCCACAGCTGGTGTTACTGGCGTTGCTGGCATCACAGCAGCAGCAGCAGCTGGTGTTAACGACCGTGCCAAACCCATCAATGCTCTACCCTGTGCATGTGAGTCACAATCCAACTCTCCTCCCGTTTCCCAAAGCTCCGTCCCCCCAAGCTTCCTAGCCCCACCCGCCTTCCCACCACCCCCTCCTCTTCCGCCTCGTCTCCCCCTGCTTACACTCGTAACCCTGCTTGTCCCCTCCCCAGCGTCCAAAATCTCAAACTCCCCGCACCTCAGGGCCTCCGCAACCATAAACCCGCTTCTTGCTCCCTTTTTTCCTCGTTGGATCTGATTTTTTCCCGAAGCAATTTCTTCTTTCAACCGCTCGTCTCCTGCCTGTCCCTCTCCTCCCGGCCTCTCTCCCCTCTTGTCCACCAACCCCCCTTGAAAGCATCCGTCAACTGCGGCCGTTGGCCCGTCAAACCCGACGCTCCGCGCGAGCCGGCCAAAACCCAGCATCGCCAACTCGCGTCGCGGCGCTCCGCCATCCTCCTTTTCCTCGTTCGCCGCCGCGGCTCCCCCAACGTCTCTCCCGCCCATCCCCTCCCTACACACGCCTTGACGGCGGCACAACTCACAAAGCTGGTTCGTCGCATGCGCTCCCTGCCGGCCGTTGCAATCGCACTCGAGAGCAGTGATACTAGCGATTTGAGGGCTAATTTGATCCCCAGAACGGTCTCTTGATCTTCTCCAACCCCGGAAAGCCCCTCTGCTTAGAGTTTGCGCTCCTGGTGTAGCGGGGAGTTTATCGCTTGGCGCGGGGGGGGATTCTCCGCGTGGCGCGCGATTGCGCTTCCTGCGAATCGGGGACGGAACACCGCCTCCGGATGCGCTGTGGCGGGCAATCTCCTCCGCGACCGGGCAACTCGGCGACGATACGGAAAAAACAACCGCGGGTTCGGCAATTCCGCTTCCGACAGCGGCGCAACGAGCGGCGGAAAGTATGGGCGCGGAAGAGAGGGCGGTACTTTGGAGCCGTTGAAGCTGCTGGAAGTGCGCGGCAGTAGCGGCGAAAAGCGAGGGAAGGAGAGACAAGGGCGAGGGGGATTCGTTTTTAGGTAAAGTGGATTCATGCACCGGCGAGTCAGCAACAGGAGAAAGTGGTTTGCGCATCGACTCAATTAGCGGCTGCGATAATGGTCGCGATGCTAATCGAAATCGGGTGGTGTTATTACTACTGGATGAGGCTGGCATGATGATGTTTCTGTTCTGAGAATAACGAGGGAGCACAGGCACCGTCACTCTCGCAAAAAGGACGTTTAATAGGGGATGCTTGGAAATTCGCTAAGCTATTGGGAGTGAGCAAGCCTGCTTCCATCACCTGCTGAATATGTACATGAAACTTGATTGCAATATTGGACGGCAAGATACCATAGAATAGAATGCTTGGAAGGGCTGGGAAAGTGGGTGAGAGCAGGAAATAGGGTGAGACAGACTGATGAGAGCAGAGCTTGTTTGATTGAGGACAGGGAGGGGAGGGGAGGGCGCTTGCTGTGTGTTAGGTTTTGTCTCATGTTTGAATGTGTGGTGGTGAGTGATGAGCGCGCTTTGGAAGAGATGGCAGACCAAGAAGTCATTTCTTGGTGACGCCTCGGTTCAGGGCTTGTCTCAGTTCATTATAATCACACCAGGCGCATTTATAATAGGGCATTTACATCTATTCGCCACCGTGGTAACCATCATGCTTAAATGGTCGACATTATAGCCCAAATGGTAATGAACAGTGCATCTGGAAGTCCTGGCTGGTAACTTTGCGTTCCAACAAAACTGTACGCCGTACAAGTAGGATTTGACTCAATGAAATTGAACTGACTATCCACGTATACTCCACAGAATGCGCATTATTGTTTAGTAGACGAACGTTTACAAACGCAAAGTGTTACATGCACGTATGAGATGTCAGAATATTATGCTCTAGCCTGTAGTGGGGTGCTCTATAGCGAGTACAACTCTTCTAGGGTTTTGCTATTTGTATCCCCATTCTTGCTAGTGCAACCCTCCTTCTTTCTTCTAAACTTTAACATGCTATCAGAGCAGGTCGATCCCCTTGGATCGATCCTGTGGGTGGGCTCACCACCTTGTTGCTTCCGCTGCAACTGCTACTGCTACTCTCTGTGCCGCACGCCCCGTGGCGTGCGGCAGTTTTTCTTCCCGCCGTGCGCCCCGAGGCGCGCGGCGGTTTTCTGCCCGCCGTGCGCCCCGAGGCGCGCGGCGGTTTTCTGCCCGCCGTGCGCCCCGAGGCGCGCGGCGGTTTTCTGCCCGCCATGCGCCCCGAGGCGCGCGACGGGTTTCTGCCCCGTCACTCGCCGCGTCGCCCCCGGGAGGCGCTGCGACGGGCGACGGGGACCCGCACGTCGCCCCGTCGCGCGGCCCCTGCAGCCCCGTCGCGCCGCCCAGGGGAGCCGCGCGCGGCCCCTGCTGCCCCGTCGCGCGGCCCTGCTGCCCCGTCGCGCTGCCCAGGGGAGCCTTGCGCGGCCCCTGCTGCCCCGCCCCGTCCCGGACCTGCCCCGGCCCCGACCTGCCCCGGCCCAACTCCCGTCGCCCGTCGCGGCGCCCTGGGGGGGGCCGCTACAGGGGGCCGCGCGTTGCCCCCCCCCCCCCTACCTCCCTACCCTGTTTTTAGGGTTTGGGGGGTGGCGGTTGGGGGGTGGCGGTTGTGTGGCGTCGCCTGCTCCTCCTCCTCCTTCGTCTCCCACTGCTGCAGCTGTCGCTGAGGGGGGTGGATGTGTGGGAGTGTACGGAGTGGTGCTAGGGGGGTGGAGTGTGAGTAGAGCTAGGGTTTGAACAGGGGGTGTGTGAAATGGGGGTGGGACAGTTGGGGGAGGTTGAATGGAGGCGGTCGTCGTGTCGTCAGCAGCAGCAGCAGTCCGGAGGCTACAATCTCCGGTAGTCGCCAGTCGCCCGTGGGTCCGTTGCTCGTCTGCCGCTACTTTTAGCCGCGTGGCCAGTTACCCCAGTAGTCCGGAGCGCTGTTCCGGTAGCCACTGAGCCAGCAGCTCGTCTGTGTGTCTGCAGCGTCAGCAGTCGCCTCCCATCTTCTCTCCCCCACAGTCTCTCCTCCTCCTCACTTGCCCTCTGTGATAGCCTCTAGCTTTGCTTACATTTGTTAACTATAAAACTGCTACCTCTTGTACTTGTGCTCAGAATGTGTGGTGACATTGTGATCCACCCTGAGCTTGTTTTCTTTTGCTTGCTCTGCTGATTACACCCCACTTTGGCTATGGGGGTGTGTCAGAATATTATGCTCTAGCCTGTAGTGGGGTGCTCTATAGCGAGTACAACTCTTCTAGGGTTTTGCTATTTGTATCCCCATTCTTGCTAGTGCAACCCTCCTTCTTTCTTCTAAACTTTAACATGAGATACAATTAAATATCCCTTTAATAGCATAAAAAATATAGAAACAAATAAAAAATCACAGGATCAGTTTTATCGTTTCATGTAGATTCACAAAATAATTGACAATTCATTGAAGCGTACCATAAAAATCATTTTCCAACCTATATAATGAATAAAAATAATGGATAGAGATTGTTTTTAACTTGTTTAGATGCATTTGTTTTTTTATATATTATATATTTAAATATTGATTTTAATCATGCAGCTTTAGATGTTTATAATATCGAGAAAAAAATATTTCCTACTAATGCTGTAATGTTTGTAACTTGATTGTAAACTCCGTCATTATAAACGGAAATGCGCATTTTGTGGAGTAGACGTGTGTCAGAACATTATATAGCTTATGCTGTTGTGTAGGCTATAGTGGGGTATCCCATAAGGGGTACAACCCAATTAGGGTTTCCCATATGTACTCACTTCATTCATAGTTCAAACATCCTCGTTCTTTCTTTTCACATGGAATCAGAGCAGGTCCCCTCCTAGGGACTGCTTCTAGGGCCCACCGAAGCGCGCCCCGAGGCGCGTTTTTTCCTTTTTTTTTAGCGACCCTCCGTGTCGCCCCTCGCGGCCCCGCCGCCCTCCCTTCGCGGCCCCGCCACTCTGCTCACGCGGCCCTGCCGCCCTTCCTTCGCGGCCTCGCCGCCCTACTAACGCGGCCCCGCCGCCCTTCCTTCGCGGCCCCGCCGCCCTGCTCGCGCGGCCCAGCCGCCCTCTGCTTCGCGGCCCCGCCGCCCTGCTCACGCGGCCCCGCCGCCCTCTGCTAAGCGGCCCCGCCGCCCTGCTACAGCGGCCCAGCCGCCCTCACGTCGCGGCCCGCCCGCCCTCTGCTTCGCGGCCCCGCCGCCCTGCTCACGCGGCCCCGCCGCCCTGCTCACGCGGCCCCGCCGCCCTCTGCTAAGCGGCCCCGCCGCCCCACTACAGCGGCCCCGCCGCCCTCACGTCGCGGCCCGCCCGCTGCCCTACCTGCGGCCCGCCAGCCGCCCTACCTACGGCCCGCCCGCCGCCCTAACTGCGGCCCGCCCGCCGCCCTACTTGCGGCCCTACCGCCGCCCTGCCTGCGGCCCGCCCGCCACCCTACCTGCGGCCAGCCCGCTGCCCTACCTACGGCCCCCCCCCGCCGCCCTACCTGCGGCCCTACCGCCGCCCTACCTGCGGGAGCCGCCTAGCAGCAGAACCGCCGGGAGCCGAGCCGCCCTGCCGCCGAGCCGCCCGGGAGCCGAGCCGCCCTGCCGCCGAGCCGCCCGGGAGCCGAGCCGCCCTGCCGCCGAGCCGCCCGGGAGCCGAGCCGCACTGCCGCCGAGCCG